GGAGCCTCCCCCCCAGGTCTCAAGCCCTGGGGCCCCGGTCCAGCCTCCGGGCCTGTCCTTCCCCACGTCGCTCCTCCCTAGGCTCACCTTGGGGCCTCGCCTCCACCTTCCCTTGTCCCTGCTGCCTCCTGCACCCCCAGCATCCCCCGGACAGTGGGGCCCATTCCCCAGGTTTCTCTAGGTTTTCCTGCACGTGGAGACAATTCCCCCCTATCCTTCCCTGTTTTCTGCAAACAGGTCCCCAAGTTTTCCTCCCTACATTTCGCCTCCCCGGCCTCATCCCGGAATTACGGCTGTCGGGGCGCAGCGGGAGCTGGGAGGTTTTTTGTCAGAGCCCCTCACTTTGACAGGTTGTGGTGGGGTAGCATCAGAAATCATCCGATCCCCCCCAACCTGGCCCCAGGCCTCGGATCTCCCCTGCTGAGCTGCTGCAGGCCCTGCCCCAGCTGAGGACCCCCCCAGACACCGAGCCCCGGGCCACCCCTTTCTGGGCTGTGTCCCTCCTGGCCAGCTGGCCGGAGGGAGCAGAGAAGAGCTTGGAAGCCAGGCCTCGTGCCTGCCCCATCTGTCCCTGCGTTGTAGGGTCCTGGGGTCTCCCTCGTGGCCACCAGATGAATGGCTCCAGGGACATTTGTCTCTTGGGTCCCTGTGTGACCTGGGGCTGTTCCTTGCCCTCTCTGGGCATCCTCTTCCTGCTCTGTGATCTCTAAGCACTCTCCTAGTACCGTCCCACCCAGCCTCTCTCCCCGTGCCCTTTCCCCCACCCCCAGGCAGGAACATCGAATGCCTTGTTACTCTCCCCAGTCCATTCTCCAGCACTCTGGGGGCAGGGCTTAGAACCTGGGGTGCCCCCTAGGGTCCTGAGAGCCCAGCGCCAGCCACCTGGATCTGAGTGGGGGGGGGGAGCAGGGACTGGAGGATGGGATGCCTGGTCCCCAGGTACTGGCTGGCTCAGCTCGCTCCCAGCCCTTTCTTAGCTCTCACCAGCTCCTTCTAGGGGAAGCCCCCTTGTCACTCCTCCCCCCCTTCCCCCGAGTCTCCATGACATCGGGAAGGAAATAAACGGAGCCCGGAGCTCAGCCCGTTCCCAGGGCTGGGGGTGGGCCCGGCCCCCCCTCCCTGCCTGAGTTTCCATGACTTCATCCTCCTGGCCCTGGGTGCCTTCCCTCCTCTCCAGGCCCCTGGCGTTGGGGGGGCAGGCTGGGGGTGGGGAGTGCTTCATTGTCTTCCAGCCCCTTCGGGCACCTGGGTGTTTGGGTCTCTGCGGTTTGGTTTTTGGGAGCCCAGGCACCTAGACCTGGAGGAGGAGAAGGAAGATGGGGAGAAGAGTCGCAGCCAGCATGGCTGAGGGGCTCGGGTAGGAGACATTGACGGGCCTTCTGGAGGCGCGGGGAGCGATCTCACACCCCACACTATTTTTAACCTCAGTGCTCCCAGAGGGGAAAGGGGCCAGGACCCAGACATCTGGGGCCTGGAGGAAGCTGCAGTCAGCGGGCCTGAGCCTCTGTTCCCCGGGGAAGAGAAGGTAGTACCCAGCCGGGAGGTCAGGGGTCAGAAGCTCCATCCCCTGCCTCCAGGCTTGACTCAGCCCCTCTTCTTCTCTCCTTCCTCTGCCAGGCTTGCATTGATGAGAACCTGGAGGTGGTCCGCTTCCTAGTGGAGGAGGGGGCCTCAGTCAACCAAGCCGACAATGAGGGCTGGACCCCCTTGCACGTGGCCGCCTCCTGCGGATACCTGGACATCGCCCAGTAAGACCCTGGGTCCTGGCGGGAGGGAGTCGTCCTGGGAGGAAGGCTGCTGAGGAGCTAGCCGGGGCACGGGCCTCCCTTCCCCATTGAGGGCCCTTGGGCAGTCTGAGCCCCATCTGGGCCTGCCCCAGCTGACCTTGGAGGCCTCTTCTCTGCGTTCTGCCCTGCCTCTTCTGGGCTTGCTCACACTCTCCCTGGCTGTATACTGGGAGAAGGGCGCTGGGATGGACTCCGGGGCCCAGGGGCTGCTGGTCATGGACCCCTGCTCAGAACAGTGTATTTAGATGTATAAAGTGCAGAGAAAGAAGGAAATTAGATGGGAAGTTAGCAACTTCACAAACCATTTGCAGACCCTCTGTTAGGAACCCCCAGAGCAGCGTGTCTGAGGTTCCTCTGGCTCTGACAGGTCCTTGCCTTTGACCCCTCTGCTTCCCCGTCTCTACCCTGCTTGGTGTCCAAGGCCCTGCGTGTTCATCTGTGCCCCCTCCGGCCTTTACTTCAGATCCAGAGGCTTTGCCCACCAGGTCCAGGCCCTCCTCTGAAGGGACCTCCCTGTAACTTAGCTGGCAAGGAGCTGCCCGGCTTCTGTTGAGGCCTCTGAGGAGGGCCAGCATGACCCCTCAAGGCCTCCCATTCCTCTGCCTAAACTGGCCTCCTTGGGACTCCCCCAGTGGCTTTCCCTCCTCCCTAGCACAGCCCTTCCTGGGCAGATGCTGGCTGCCCCAGGTACTCTCCAGATGGCAGCTGTCCCCTCAATGCCCACACAGCCACTGAGCTTTTTCTGCCCCATTCCTTTCCCCCACCGTGCCAGCACAGGCCCAGCGTGATCCCTGGGGCACTCCACTGGAGACCTGTCGGGTTGACATGGAGCTTACACACTCTTACACAGGGGGCCTTGTGCTCTGTTCAGAGCCCTCCTCCTCGTCCTAGATGCCTCGCTTTTCTCTCTTTCCATCCTTCCCACAAGAATGGCATGAGATGGTTTTCCAAGTACTTTGCTGAAATCCAGGTAAACTGATCTGCCAGTCTTGTTGCCCCATCCAAAGAGTACCTCGGGTTCTCACGCCAGCCTGACCGTGCCGGGGCCGCCACAACCTCTTCGTGGGGGCCAGCGTGTCTTTTCCGCAGGGTGTGCTGGTCATCCTTGGGCTTCTCGGAGCCCGGCTCACTGGGTTGCAGAGGGTCTTAGCTCTTTCTTGACCAATGGAATGACACTTGCTCGGTGGGCTGGGTGGGGCCTTGGTCATCCCATGTGCTCGGCCCTGAGGACCACTGACCGCTCTCTCCCTAGCTCCTCTTCAGTGATCTTGGCCTTCAGCTCTCCATTAGCGTGTTGGAGTGTTTTCTGCCCTTTCCTGTCCAAAGGTCATTTCTTCTTGGCAGAAAGGACGTTAGCATAATGAGAGATGGGCAGAAAGAAGGCTGTGGTCTCTTGGTTGTCTGTTTTACTGGACTGGAAGCTCTGGATTTTGGCTATGACATTTATGGGAGTTTTTATCTTGGCATTTCTTTTAGAAGGCAGCAGATGTGAACTTGACTTCAGGCCTGGCGTTCTATCTGCTGTGCCACCCAGCTGCCCCCGTGGCAGAATCCCTTAGTGGTTGAAGGAAAACCCCGTTTCTGGGTCCCTTTTCCTTTAGCTTTATATGTGTGTATATATATATATATATAGATATAGATATATATTTTTTTTTTTCCTAAGTAAAAGAGGCCATTGTTTGCCTCATTTCTTACCTAGCCTTAATCACTGAATGGGTATAGCCTCAGACAGACTGAGGCCTGGGAAAGATCTTAGCTTAAAAAGGCCGAGGTCCCTCCCTGCATCCTGGGCCATCTCCAGATGGCTCCCGAGGAGAAACTGAGGCTGGTGACTTTGCACAGCTTCCCTTCCTCAAACCCAGCTCACTCGCACATCACGGCAGCACCTCCCTGCTGTCACAGTCCTCTTTGAGAACAGAGGACAGACAGCAGTGGGGCGGCACCCACTCACCCTGAGCCCTGGTCTTGGGCCAGGGCGGCGAGGGAAGAGGCATTTATTAAGTACCTACTGTGCGCCACACACGGTGCCAGCTGCTTTACACATAGGATCTCCTTTGGTCCCCATCATAGTCCTTTTTCCCCATTTTATAGATGAGAAAACTGAGGCAGGGAGAGGTGAAGCGCTCTGTCTGCCCAGGGTGCATGAGTAAGTGTCTGAGGCCAGATTCGAACCTGGGTCTTCCGGACTCAGGGCCTGACCAGCGTCGCCCTTAGAATGATGACAGTAATAATCTGTTGTAGCTCGCGGCTGTTTGGCGGATTGCTGGGAGGCTTCCGCCTTTGCCCGTCTGCCTTTGCTTCCCTCTCCTGGACCGGCTTGGCTGGTCATCCGCCTCGGTCCGTTCGCGTGGCCTCCATCTTTCTAGGGCCACAGCTTCAGAGCTCGAAGGTGCCTCCTTCTGTGCCAGGCTCCGGGGGGCTGGCCCTTCCTGCCAGGAATCAGCACTTCTGCCCCAGCAACCAGTTCCTCCTCGCGGGCCCCAAAGAGAATTTCCCCTTGTTGGTGTCGTCAGTTTAGAAGGATGAAATGATCATTAGGCAGCCATGGGCAGAAAGCTCTAGCGGGCAGGTGTCTGGTTAGCCGAAGTCTCTGAAGGCTGCTGGTACGCGCCTCTGTGCCAGGCTGGTGATTGACCATCACCGTCCTCTTTCTGTCTGGGCGGTCTGTAGCGGACGCCAGGGACAAAAGCCCTCGTGTCCTTCCCGTGCCAGAGGCCAGACTGGGTGCGGGTCAGCGTGCCTTCATCCGGCTCTTTGCCCATTGAGTTCAGCCCTCTTGCCCCGTGGATACAGAAGACCCCATCAGTGACCACCTTCGCCAGGACTGGCGAGTGGCCACCGTTTGTGACCTCAGAGGTGCTCTTGCTCCTCGACGCTCCTTAGCAGCCCCTTGCCTTTGTCACTGAGCCCGGTGTCTGGCCCGGTGCGTCCACCAGCCCCAGGACCTTTCTGAAGGAGCTGCTGTCTGTGGCCACGTGGGCGGGGGTTCTGACCCCTCATTGGACCCTTGAGCAGTCTGGTGAAGCCCATAGACCCCTGCTCCAAAATCATGTGTTGAAAAGAGATTTATCATATCGGAGATTGGTGGGAATAAAGATATTCTATAAAGAAAATAGCGTACAGGGCAGCTGGGTGGCGCAGTGGATAAAGCACCAGTCATGGTCAAGAAGATCTGAGTTCAAATCTGGCCTCACACCAAACACTTGTCACTTACTAGCTGTGTGACTCTGGGCAAGTCACTTAACCCCAATTGCCTTAAAAAAAAAAAAAAGAAAGAAAATAGTGTACAGGCAAAATAAAGTAGCGGCCTCAGAATATCCACAGCCAATACAATTTTGATTCAAGACAGAACTCTGATTTGTTTTAAGAGTTTAGTCATTAAAGAAGTTTAAACCTGCACAGCAATCATTTTGAATATAATTATTTCAAGTTCCCTAATTAAACTCTACCCAAGCCAGTCTTGGGAGCCAGAAGCCTGGGAGGCGAGTTGGCTGTCTGGAGCAGGGAGGCAGGCTCCCCTCGGCCTTCGAGTCCTGTGTCTGCCCGGATCTTCTCTTCTCTCCAGGTTTCCTGGCCACCTCTCTCCCTGCTTCTCTTCCCTACCTGGCCACGCCTGCTCGGTCTCCTTTACTGGGTCCTCCCCCAGGTCGTGGCCTGCGTCCCACGGGGCCCCGTCCTGGGTAGCCTCCTCTTCTCCCTCTGTACCACACTTCCCTCAGCCATCCCATCAGCTCTCAAGGACTGAATGACCATCTCTGTGCTGACGGCTCAAACCTACCTGTCCTGCCCCAGTCTCTCTCCTGACCCTAATCCCCAGCTGCCCTTTAGACTCAACACGTTCAAAACAGAATTCAACATTTTGCCCCCAGAATTCTCTGCTCCTAGCTTCCCCGGTCCTCCCAGTCCCCCCAGCTCATGACCTAGGGGTCATCCTTTATCCCACGTGGTGCCGAGGCCTGTTGATTTCACCTTCGTGACGTCTCTGGCACAGGCCCCCGTGGAGCCCCTCATCACTCAAGCCTGGATTCCTGCACCAGCTGCTGGGGGTCCGCCTGCCTACCGTGGGACAAGCACCGTGCCCATTCTTCACTTTGCTGCCAAAAGACTGTGCCCCCCCCCCCCCGGGGCTCCTGTGGCCCCTAGGGTCAAATACAAAATGCTCTGCTTGGCCTTCAAGGTCCCTCAGAAACTGTTGCCTCCTCTGGCCTCTCCAGTCTTCTAACACTGCACTCCCCACCCACCTTGTCCTCCTGCCAGCCCTCGGGCCCAGGCCTGGACCACTCCTCACCTTCCGTAGCCCTCTGAATCCAAGGGCCTTCCCTCTGTTCGTTATTTTATTATTATTCATTGTTTGTATTATATTAATATTCATTATCCTGATTGTACCTCATTAGACCGTGAGCTCCTTGAGGCCTAGGCCAGCGCCCGGCCCACGGGCACTTCCGAGTGCTTGCTGACCGCTTCCGGAGCTGGTGCTGTTCCTTCCTGCAGCTCTGGAGAACAGTCTTTTTCCCTGCCTCCGCACCCCCAGGGACCAGGATCCTGCCTGGCGTAGGGTAGGGGCCCAAGACACGGTGGCACAGAGTCGCTGTCCTAGCTCTGCCCCCCTCGCACCTTGCCTCTAGGTACCTGCTGAGCCACGGGGCCAACATCGCGGCCGTGAACAGTGACGGGGACCTGCCCTTGGACCTGGCAGAAGCCGACGCCATGGAGAGTCTGCTGAGGGCAGAGATTGCCCGCCGAGGTGGGCAGCAGGCCGCGGGGAGTGCCGGTGGGCCCCTGCCTTCTCCTGGCGCTGACCGTGGGCTCGTCTCTTCTCCCCAAAGGTGTGGATGTGCAGGCTGCAAAGCGGGCTGAGGAGGAGCTCCTGCTACATGACACGCGATGTTGGCTGAATGGGGGCGCCATGCCAGAGGCCCGCCACCCCCGCACGGGCGCCTCGGCCCTGCACGTGGCTGCCGCCAAGGGCTACATGGAGGTGATGAGGTATGGCAAGGGTGCTCCTCCCCCCTTAGAGGCCGGGTGGGTGGGTGGGTGTCGAGGAGACTGGAGCTGGCCTGAGGCTGGGAGGTGTTACGGTTTACAAGGCTGTCCTCATAGTGCCCCTGTGAGGTGAGGGAGGGCATGTAGGGGCTAGGCCAGCCTCCCCTCCTGGGTCACAGGGTGCTGCCAGGCTTCACAAATGCCTTTGGCAGCCTCTGGAGCTGGAATGGTGGGGAAGTTAGAAGGGTGGGCCTGGAAGGGCCGGTCAGTCACTCCTGGGCTGTGGTCTCCAGTGAAGGGCCCCTGGGATCTGTGCTGGGGCCTGGGGCCAGTGACCTGGGTCAAGGCACGGGTGGCCTGTACATCCAGACCACAGATTTCCATACAGCTGGGCTCCAGAGCCACCCACTTGGATGACAGTCCCACAAGAGTAGCTTGGCAGGCAAGATTAATGGGCTGTATCTGATCCAGTTTAGTTAATTAGCAATAAGTATAAAGGTTGCATGGCTGCTTTCTGAAGAAGAGCTGTAGGTCTTGGTGGACCACAAGCTCCCAGTGAGCCTGCTGGGATATGTGGCAGCCAGACAAACAGCCAGATCAGTCTTAGGCTGAATGAAAAAAAGTCCCATTATCCAGGCTTAGGAAGGGGGCCGGTCCTGCTGTGCCCTGCCCTGGACAGATGACCTCTGGGCACCATTTCTAAGAACACTGACAAACTGGAGAATCCAGAGGAGAAGCCTCAGAAAGAGTTGAAGGAATTGGGACTGAGGAAATCTAGGCGGGGCGTGAGAGGTGTCTGCAGGTAAAGGGGGCTTCCCCGTGCTTGGGTCCCAGCTACCAGAACCAGGAGCCAGGGCAGAAAGTGGCCAGGAGGCCTCAGTAAGGCTGATGTCCAGATCACTTAACTAGCCCTGAGGCCTGGCCCAGCGTGCGAGGGGCTGCGCTCCCCCTCCTGCAGGCCTTGTGTCTGCTGGGTGGACACGAAACGCAGGGGTGCCTGGTCAGGTAAAGGTTGGACCCACGGCCCCTTCTGGTGGTGATGCCACCCCAGTGGGTCTGTGGAAGGATATCGTGGAGGTCGGGAGCTTTGCCTCGCTGAGCCTTAGTTTCCTTCTCTGTAAGATCAGGTGGTTGGACCACATCAGTGAGCCTTCATCTGCTTTCTGTGAACCTGGTTTGTTTTAGAATTATCATTCCATTTCAATACAAGCAGTTCCCTTTGTCATCCTGTGTATAAAAGCATGCTTCTGAGAAGGAGCCCTTGGACTGACCCCCCTGGGATCCGTGACACAAGAAAGACGGACAGAACCCTGGACTTGGGGCTGGGTGCCTGTGGCCTTCACCAGATTCGGTTCTCGGCTTTGACGCCGACTAGTGAGTGGTGTGGCCTTGCGCGAGGAGCCTCCATTTTCTTATGTCAGACCTCCTGTCTCTCTCCCTGACTGCAGGCTACTCCTCCAGGCCGGCTATGACCCTGAGCTGCGTGACGGGGATGGCTGGACGCCCTTACACGCAGCTGCCCACTGGGGCGTAGAGGATGCCTGCCGCCTGCTGGCCGAGCATGGGGGAGGCATGGACTCCTTAACCCATGCGGTGAGGGGCCCGAGCCACACCAGGGGAGGGGTAGCAACGGTTTCTTCCAGCCTGAACGGGCAGGGCCTGGTTGGACTCCCCGCATTGCCTTCTGGTGGTGTGACCTTGGCCGGGCCCTTCTCTGGAAGCTTCGCTTTCTGTATCTGTAAAATGGACGGGCTCATTAGACCATGAGCTCATCTCTAAGGACCCTCTTCCCCTCCTCTGATCCATGACCCTGAACAAAGGATTATTTAGTCAGCCCATCATTAAGCATTTATTAGGCACCTTCTGTGTGGTAGGCACTGGGGATACACATGAGAGAATGAATGACCCTTACTTGTATGGAACTTATGTTGTAATGGGGAGACAACAGGGGAAGGGAAGAGCACAAGTATTTATTAAGCGCCTGCTGTATTCCAGGCACTGTGCTAAGCACTTTACAATTATTACCTCATTTGATTGTCACAACCCTGGGAGGGAAGAACTATCATGATCCCCATTTTATAGATGAGGAAACCGAGGCAGACGGAAGTGAAGTGACTTGCCCAGGGCCACCCAGCTAGTGTCTGAGGCCATAATTGAACTCAGGTCCTCCTGATTGCAGGCCCAGTGCTCTGTGCATTTTGCCACCTAGCGTACCCCAAGGGTGTATGTGTGTGCGTGTGCGTGCATGCAGAAGGTGCAGAAGGTGCTTGAGCTATGTCTCAAAGGTAGAGGTGAGGAGGGTTTGTGCTCCAGGAAAGGAGACACTGGGCCTTGTGTGAGGGAGAGAGAAAGACCATCTGACTGACCTGTGGGTTATTGGGGAGGCCGCACAGCCAGATCAGGGCCAGGCCAGAGAGGGCTTTCCAGCAAAACAGAAGAGCTTTGATTGGATTTTAGAGGCAGTGAGAGCCACTGCAGGTGGTGGAGCAGGGGAGTGACGCGGTCAGATTGCTGGAACTGAGCTCAGTGCCCAAGGGGCTCCCCCGTCATCCCTCTCTTCTCTTACCATCCCTGCCGCCCCAAGACGTGCGCGGGCCCTCCAGCTTTCATCCGGTGAGCCACATCCGCTGATTGTGCCCACCTCCTCACGGCGTGGCTCAGAGCTGGTGCTGCTCTCTCTCAGACCTGGGGCTCTCAGGCCTTGTCTCTGCAGCCTTTGACACCGGTGACCCCTGCCGTCCCCCCTGGGGGTTTCACTGACTGATGCTGCCTTTTCTTCTTGTCCTGCCGCCCTGGGCTATCTCTTCCCCTCTCTGGGCTGTCTTGCATGGGCTCCATTACCAACCCTGTGCAGATGACTTCAGCTCTAGTCAGCCCTCTCCTTTGCCCTCAGATAGACTGTTCTCCTTCCTGTCCCCACACCCCCTCTTCCTCCTCCTCTTGTGCCTTCCCTTCCCTTTTTTGGACCCTCAGAACAGAACAAGCCACCCCTCCGACCTCAGTTTTTCTCACTCAGCTTCCTCACTACTCTGAAGATGTAATGGTTACGAAGGGAGATTTATTTTTCTCCCTCTGTTAGAGTGTTAGCACCGCACCATCATACGGTGCAATTTCTAATTGCTCAAATCATTTTACATTTCCTAGGTTTTTTTGGACTCTTGTGCTGGTAAATCAAAATTCCTATTCACCTCTGGTCTTTTCGTCAGAAATGTTTTGATGGCCTCTGTTCCATTAAAGATCTATTTTTATCCTTCTGTGGGCAGCTTGGTGGTATAACGGATAGAACTGCTGGCTTGGGGGTAAGGAAGACCCAAGTTCCAATCCAGCCTTAGACAGTTCTTAGGGGTGTGGCCCTGGATAAGTCATTTCACCCAATCTCAGTTTCCTCACCTGTACAATGGGGTTAAGAACAGCCCTCACCCTTCCCTATTGTGGTTGTGAGGGTTTGCTGAGGTGGTGTTTATGAAGCCCTGTAAGAATGCCCACTTCTTACTATTGTATGATCGTTGCTACCCTGAGCTGTAAGCCTTGATTGCAAACCTCTTGCTTTCTGGAATATTGAATTCCAAGCTCGGTTCTCATTGCTGGTCGTAGCTGCTGGTCTTGTGGGATCCTGAGCAGACTGCTTCTTTCTTGAAAGATGGGCTGAGGCCTTTTAGAGAGGTCGCCTGGCTTTGCTGTTGGACTGCTCGCATGTTCTTTTCCTCCTTCTGTGTCCTTGTTTTCGCGGAGTCCTTTTCACGTGTGACATTTGCTGCTTGTCGTCTCTGGCTGCCTTTCTTCTTGGTATTTGTGTAGTCCTGACTCTGGCACGAAGCTTGACCCCTGCAGGCTTCTGATGGAGTGGGCGCTGCTTGGCCTCGACCTGGGTCACCTCTGACCTCCCCTCTGATCTTTGAGGTCATCTGGGCCCTCTCTGGTTTCTAGGCTGTGTTAGGGTCAACACAACCCATGGCCGGCATCAGAGTGCGGCTCCAGGGTCCCGTTTCCACAGGCGTTCTCCTGGGAGGCCACTGGCTTCTTGTGGGATTTCTTGATCATTATCCAGCCTGGCACAAATTTCCCAGTTTTGCTGGAGTAGGCGTGGGGGAGCTTGGTGGTAGACTTCTATTCAGGCCGCCATCTGGCCTCCTCTGTGGTCTCCCTGGTCACTTTGTAAAGCGCGTCTGAGGCCACTGGAGGCACCACAGGACGCAAAGCTCTGGAGTCAGGAAGGCCGGAGTTCCTACCTGTGTGACCTTGGGCAGGTCCCTTCCCCTCTGTCTGCCTCAGTTTCCTCAGCTGTCAAATGGAGATGTTAATAGCACCTCCCCCACAGGTGATTGTGAAGATCAAATGAGATAACATTTGTAAGAAGTGCTTAGCGTGGCGCCTGGCACATAGTAGGTGCTTTATAATGCTTACACTCTCCCTATGGGGGGCCCCCCCATGTTTATGTTTCCCCTCCACAGAGGTCGGGGTGGGGCAGTTTTGTTTTATCTTTGTACCTTAGTGCCTTGACACATAGTAGGTGTTAAGTAAATGCATGCTGATGGGAAGGAGGAGGAAGGAATATGTGGAGTGGTGAATACTTGGTGTCCTAGGAGGGATGAAGACTGGGGCTTGGCCTCCACAGCCCAGGGCTCACCACCACCTTCCTCCTGTCTGCTGCAGGGGCAGCGTCCTTGTGATCTGGCAGATGAAGAAGTTCTGAGCCTTCTGGAGGAGCTGGCCCGAAAGCAGGAAGATGTGAGGCCCCCAGGGTCTCACCCCACCCTTCACTTTTCCCCTTGAGGACCCCCCGCCTCACCCTCCCCTGGGCCTCAGCCCCCCTCGGAGACCCCCCTGCCTCTCCCTCCCCTGGGCCTCGGCCCCCTCGAGGACCCCCCGCCTCACCCTCCCCTGGAGCCCTGATTGTCAGGCCCCCCAGCCTGCTTGACTGTGGTTCACCATGCTCTGCCCCGCCATGTTCCCGGGGCCCCTGGCGTCTCAGAACTCGGCCATCCCCATCCCCGACATCTTCCTGCCCTTCTTTCTCCCCAGCTTCGGAACCAGAAAGAAGCCCTGGCCCAGGGCCACGGGATGGAGGCTAGCCCTGAGCCGCAGCTGCCGTCCAGCAGCAAACATAGGAGGTAGGGGCGGGCCTGGGCCGGGCCGGGCCGGGCCAGGGGCCTCCCTCGGCCCCTTCACCCCAGCCTGGCCTCCCTTGTGTCCTCCCAGGAGCTCTGTGTGCCGTCTGAGCAGCCGGGAGAAGATCTCCCTCCAAGATCTCTCCAAGGAGCGGCGGCCGGGGGGCACCGGCGCCCCCCTACTCCGTGACGAGGAGGAGGGCGAGGAGGAACCCCCAGGTGAGGAGGCCCCGGGGCCTGGGGGAGGGGGAAGGGGGGAGAGGAGACCCACTGACCTCTGACTGCCCCTCCCCCCAGAGCCCAGTGCCTTGAATGGAGTATCTTCCCCACAGAGCCTGGACCCCCCCAGCCCCAAGGTGAGTCAGTGAGGTGGGCCTGGGGGATCCCCCACCCCCAGGTGCCCAAGGCCTGGGCCCACTGACTGCATCGGGGGCTTGGGGACAGTTCATTCCTGTTGATCAGCAGCGTGGGCCAGGGTTGGGGGGATCTGGGGGGGTTTGGAGATGGCCTTTCTCAAGGAGAACCTTCCTCCCCCTGGGGGATGGCAGGATGACCCTTGGGGGGCCGCATCCCCATCCCCACCCTCTCTCTTCCATAGACCAAGGAGCTCCGTCTGGCTCGCGTGCCCCCAACGCTGTCCCGGAAGACGAATGAGACCCCCGAAGCGTAAGCATGCGGGGGGCCTTTGGGGAGAGAAGGCCAGACCCAGGCCGGCGGCCTGGTCTGGGGCCCCCGACTTCCTGGGAGCCTGGGCGAAGAGGGGGCGATGAGCCACGGGGGATAATGAGTGACACGTGGCCATCGTCATCTCCCCTCCCGAATCCAATCCCAGGATCGTGGAGCCCCCAACGACGCCGCCGCCGGCCGTGCCAAACGCCCCAGGGTCGGCCTCTTCGGCCCCCATGGATTCCCGGGACCGAAGGAGGTAAAGGAGGCTGGGAAGGGGCTCCGCCCAGGGAGGACGAGTTGCCTGCAGGGCTGGCCTGCTCCCTCTTCCCTCCCCTCTTTTCCAGATTGTACCAGATGCCCGTGAGGGACGAGGAGTCCGAGTCTCAGCGCAAGGCGCGGTCCCGGCTCATGCGCCAGTCTCGGAGATCGACTCAGGTGAGGCTCCGTGTGGGTGGGTGCCGGAGCCCATAGTGCTGCCCGGCTCTCGTCCCTTCATTTGTCCCTCTTCCCCAGGGGGTGACGCTGACTGACCTGAAAGAGGCGGAAAAGAGCGTCGTGCGGGGCCCTGAACCTGAGAAGGGCGAGACGCGCCCCACGAGCCTGGTGAGCTGGGGAGGGTCAGGACGGTGTCAGGGGTGGGGGGCTCGCGGCTGGCTCGCTGCCCCTCGGCTGACGCCCCCTGCCGTCCTGCAGGACCCTGCTCGGCGGCCCCGGGTGCCTGGGCTGGAGAACTCGGGCACTGCTGTCCAGAGAGGTACGTGAAGGCGAGGAGCGGGCCCCCCAGCCTGGGGTCACCAGGGCAGGGCGTGGGCAGGAGGGCAGGCAGGGCGTTCCAGGTCTGACCCCATTTCACTCCAGCAGAGGAGCCTGAGGGGGACGGCCGCAACCAGCAGGCGGCTCCGGACCGCCGGAAAGTCCGTAAGGAACGTCGGGGGCTGGCCGAGGTGAGGGGCCGTAGGCTGCGTTTGGGATCCCGGGGCTTGGGTGGGTGACCTTGGGGGGAGCCCTCGGTTTCCCCCTCGGGAAGGACAACCCCGCTGCCCGCGTTGGCGTCTTTGTGTTGCTGCGTCCTGGTTTGGGGACCTCACTGAGGAGGGGGGTGACCGAGGGCAGTTTGGTGCCCTCCTCACCTCCCACCTGCCTCGGTTCCAGGGCGAGGAGGCGGAACCCGCAGACCTGGCGAGTGAGGAGAGCCCGGCCCGCAGGTACCAGCTGCGGTGGCTCATTTCCCCGCAGTGCCCCGGGGTCTCAGAGGGAGGGAGGGTAGAATGGAGGCAGGCTTGGCCCTCACACTGACTGGGTCTCCTGGGTCCCCAGCGTGGTGGACAGCTCCAAGGGACTCCGGCCACGGGCAAACCCTGGGGACCCCCACCCGGACAACAGCAGTTTCCGCAAGGTGAGCCTCCTTGGTCCGTGGTCTCGGGTTCGAGGGGAGCCCCTCTCGGACCCTCAGCTCCCTCTTCTGTCACTTGGGGCTGGGGTTAGATCAGGAGCTCTTTGGGGCTCCGCCCAGCTCTGAGTCCTGGGCACCTATGCACCCTTACCCTTGCCCTCTGAACCCTAGCTGTACCTGAGCCTACAGGGGGAGAATGAGCGGCTCAGGGAGACCCTGCAGGAGACCACCCTGGGGCTGTCACAGCTGAAGGTGGAGCTGGAGCGGGCCACGCAGGTCAGCGGCTGGGGGCGGGGCTTTCCTCCCTTCGCTCTCTCCCCTCCCCTCCCCCCTCCCTCCTCTTCTTCCTTTCCCCGTGACCCCTCCCCTCCGCTTCCCCCCACAGAGACAAGAGCAGTACGCGGATAGGCCGGCCATGCTGGAGCTGGAGAGATTTGTGAGTGGGAGGAAAGATGGGGGGGCTCTGGAGCTTGACCCCCTGGGTACCCCTGGGTCTGCAGCTTCCTATTCTAATAGTGGAGGAGCAGGGGGGGCGGGGCCCCTCCCCCTTCTCTGACGGGCCCCCTCCCCAGGAGCGGCGGGCCCTGGAAAGGAAGGCAGCCCAGCTGGAGGAGGAGCTAAAGGTGAGGAGAGTGGCCGCGGTGGAGGCAGGGTTGGGGTCCGGCCCACCTTCCTCTCAGGTGACCCCCGCTTCGCTCCCCCCCTCCTTCAGGCCCTGTCTGACCTGCGGGCTGACAACCAGCGCTTGAAGGATGAGAACGCAGCGCTCATTCGGGTCATCAGCAAACTCTCCAAGTGACCTCCCCCTCCCCCGCTCTCCCCTCACCCCTATTTATGCAGCTGCTTCTGCCACAGATCATTCCTTTGTGTGAAACTTGGGGACCCTGGAGGGGCCATCAGGAGTCCCCTCCCCCCAATCACTCCCCTAACAAAGCCATAATCGCCCCCCACACTCCCCAGCACCGGGCCTCTCAAGGCCCAGCTGCTTGGATCGAAGGGAGCAGGGGCGGGGGGGCCATGGGAAGCTGGGGCTGCATGGGGGGGTGCTGGGGGCTGCCAAGGATGGGACCAGAGATGGGGGACGGCGATGGAGGACAGAACGTAGCTGAAGGCAGGCGAGAGAAGTCGATTGAAGAATCTTGGGGCCGCAGCTGACAGAGGCGGTGGCGGCCCAGGACCGGGGGAGCCAGAGAAGGAAGATACAGACTTTGGGGACCAGGGCACCAGAGAGAGCCTCGCCCCTCTCCCCCCGCTCCTGCTTCCTCTCCACCTCACTTGTGATGCCACCCCCTCCTCTCCTCCCCCCTCCAGGGAGCAAAGAATGTGCCAATGGTCCCTGCCTCCTCAGGCCACTGGCCGGGGCTGCTGGGACATGTATATAGGGGCGTGGGTTTTTTTGGGGGGCCCCACGCCCACTTCTGATGTGCAATAGGGGAAGGAGGTTTCTATTTTTGTGGCCGGGGTTGCCCCCCGCCGCCTGGGGTCGGGGGGGGGGCACCTATGCTGGGAGAAAGTATTTTCCTGAGATCTGCCGTGGCCACGGGGCACCGCGAATAAAGGGTGTGACTTTGCTGTTAGTGTCAGGGTTTGTGTGTGGGGGCGCCCCAGAGATTGGGACTGACCCTCATCTTCCAGGTGAGGGAAGGAGGCCCAGGGAGCTGGGGGCCCCTGCCCACCCCCTTCGTTTGGGTCAGCCAGGAGAGAAGAGCTTGGCCCCGAAGAATCAGCATTTATTATGCACTTGCTGTGTGCTCGGCACTGTAGATACACGGGAAGGCAAAGGCAGCAGCTGTCCTCAAGGGCTCCCAATCTGACAGGGGTGCCCGTTGGACATGATGTCGGAGGGGGCCCGGGGCATTGAGGGGCATGGGGAAGGCTTCTTAGACGTACAAGGTGGAGTTTAGCTGGGGCTTGGAGGAAGGATCGGTGGAAATGCCCACACCTCAGGAAGATCACAGCTGAAGGGAGGGTGGCGGGCAGACCCCGCCCCGCCCCAGCCACTGCAGTAGTGCGGGTGGGAAGGGGTGAGGGCCCCTCCCCGTCTGGGAGGTTCAGTTAGATTGACCGTGGGCTGTCGGAGGGAGTTGAGGATGGCTGGGAGGGTGGTCGTGCCCCCGAGCAGGAGCGGGGAAATCCAGAAGAGGATTTGAACAGGGTCAAGGGGGACGCGCATGGAGAAAAGCTTTGGGGATTAGCTTTGCTTGAGGAGGTGGAGACGGCGTGCAGGGGCCATGGCCAGTGTGCCGTTATCACGAGCGTGGAGGAGGAGACGGGACGTGGAAGGCTTTTTTTGGCAGGGCAGTAGGAAGGGGGTGGCGTGTCCCATTAATGGAAATAGAAGAATCCGGATTGGGAGCCCAACGGGACCCCGGGGGCCGTCTAGTTTAGCCACTAGGACAGGAGGAGAGGTCCCAGGGAGGTGCGGCGCACCCAAAGTCACACGTGGCTGTCCGGTGGTCAGCTCGTCCAGTCCTCGGGTGGGGGTGGGGTGGGGTGGGGTGGGGCGTGGCGCCTCCTGTGCCTGGGACAGCGGCTCCGCTGGTGGGGGGAGCCTAGACCCGAGTGCTGCTGCTCTCCGGGGTGAGGGCTGGGCCTCCAGCTCGTGGCTCGTTCAGGTGCACAGCACGTCGGGGCTCGAGGAGCCCAGGCCTCGTGACCGGCCCCAGGGAGGGCATCATTCGCCCAAACACTCGCTGAGCTGGGGAGGCAGTGTAGACCCAGAGCAGGCCACCAAGGAGGAGCGGGGAGTGGACGCGGTGGGCGCCGGCCCCGCCACAAAACCCGACCCCACTGGAGACGCCACGCGCTTTATTCCCTACTCCCGGCTCGGTGGCCCCGCCCCTCCCGCCCTCAGCCAATCAGGAGTGCGCTGGGCGGAGCCGGTGGGGCCGAGGCCGGGAGAGAGGGCGAGGGAGGACCCGTCCGTCTGGGCAGGGCTGCGGGGCTCAGCGCGCCCCCAAGGAGGCCCCGGGTGGGAGGGGGCGGGTCACAGCGCGTCCCCGCCCGCCTCCCCCTCCACCTTCCGTTTCTGCTTCTCCATCACCGCCTCCAGCTCCGACAGCTTCTCCGAGTCCTGGGGCGAGAAAGTGGGGACAGAGCTGAGGATCCCGGCCCCTCCCCCCTAGGGACCCCGGCATCTGGATCTCTGGCCCCTCCCCCCAGGACGCCAGGCACCGGGAGCTCTGCCCCCTCCCCACTCCTGGACCCCGACATCGGCTCCCTCCCTATCCTGGACCCTGGCATCCGAAGCTCTCGACCCCTCCACCCTCCAGGACCGTGACATCTGGCGCTCTGGCCCCTCCCCCTGAGGACCCCGGCATCTGGAACTCTGGCTCCTCCCCCACTCCAGGACGCAGAGCATCGGGAGCTCTGCCCCCTTCTCCCTGAGGACTCTGGCTTCGCGAGCTCCACCCCATCCCTCCTGGGGACCCCGGCACCGGGAGCTCTGCCCCCTCCCCACTCCTGGACCCCAACATCGGCCCCCTCCCTATCCTGGACCCTGGCATCCGAAGCTCTCGTCCCCTCCACCCTCCAGGACCGTGACATCTGGCGCTCTGGCCCCTCCCCCTGAGGACCCCGGCATCTGGAAC